ACTTTAGAAGGCCAATATGTCAATCTTATTGGGGGGAAAAGAGCATGACTTTTCAGCCATTCGAGTCTATAGCTTCTTGATAAGCCGTCAGAAGTTAATACAGATTCTGTAGCCAGATTGTCTAGACTCAAAGCTGGGGTTCTCTCTTTATTTGCACTGTGACCGTAGGCAAGTTGTAACCTCTCTTGCCCCAGTTTCATCATCTATGATATTGGTTGGCAAAGTTTTTATGTAAAGCCAGACAGTAAGTAACTCCAGGCTTTGGGGCTGCATATAGTATCTATTGCTTCTCCTTTTTACTTTCTTTTTTTTTAAAGAATGCTTCAGTGGTTCTCAACCTTCCTAATGCCTCGACCCTTTAAGACAGTTCCTCATGGTGCGGCGACCCCCAACCATAAAATTATTTTCGTTGCTACTTCATAACTGTAATTTTGCTACTGTTATGAATCTTAATGTAAATATCTGATGTGCAGGATGTATTTTCAGGGGTCGCGACCCACAGGTTGAGAACCGCTGCTTTAGACTTCTGGTCAAGATGGCGGCATAGGTAAATGTGGTACTTGCATCCTCCCACAACCGCATTAAAATTACAGCTAATGTACAGAACAACCATCATTCAGAAACTCCTGAAACCTAGCTGAATGAAGTCCTACAACAAGGGAGTTAAAAAAGCCACATTGAGACGGTAGGAGGGATGGAAACCTGAAATAGTCTTGTCCCCCACCCACATGTCGTGGATAAAAATCAGGAGGGCTATCTCAGCTGTGAAGATTCCTCCTGAGGAGTGAAGGGGTCCCAGCCCTACACCAGGCCCCCAAGTCCAGAGTTTCAGTGCCAGGAAGAGGAGTCCCCATAATTTTTGGCTATAAACACCAGTGGGAATTGAGGCTGAGGGAGACAGAGGCTCATGGAGTCCTAGGAAGTTCCTATTAAAGGGCCCAAGCACAAACTTACTTTGACTCACTCACTCTGAGCTCCAGTGCTTGGAGAGCAGCTTGTTTAGAACTGTTTTAGAACAGCTATTATAAAAGTGCCCTTCGCGAGAGCAGGAGGGGCAGCTTTCTCCCAGACAGAAAAAGTACAATAACCATTTTCCAATCATTATAGTATTTTTTTTTTCAGGCACAGAAATAGAAACCTATTTTAACATCCATTTAAGTGAAATTTTAATATCACTTTTATTTTTTCAACTGAGAAGAGGGAATAATCAGACAGCAGAAAATATGTACAAAGTCAGTTAAAATACTACAGTATTTTAAATGTATGAGAGTTACATGCAGAATGTATCTGTCATAGCTATTTGCAAGAGTAAACAACAATGTGGTGTGCCAAAAATTCCAAAGGAAAAAAATGACTTGAGTAATCAGGAGACAATTCCTAATTTTTAGCTGGCAACCTATAAATGAAAAACAAATATATAAAACTCAGCCCTTTCATGATTTACAAAACACAAGCTGAATAGGGCCATATATAAATATTTAAATGCAAAAATATAACAGGATGTTTTGAACACTTTATGAGGTGTTATATTGAAATGGAGAGCTTATAAAGTAAAATTTGTTACAGTGATGCCTAAACATGAAAAAGCACCTGCTTGAGCTTTAGAATGCAATAAATTTTAATTGCATGTTAAATACAAACCCAATAACCTCAGCTTACACTAGTACACACTTACATGGCATCGTGTGGCTATTGTTGCCCAACTTGCTTCTACATAATCTTGACTTACAAGTTTAGAGTAAGAATTGATATTTATATTTGGAGAACATGAAATCAAAGGAAAAGTATTCTCTTTTGTCTAAATATTTGCATAGGTACGAGTTAGTCTGTGGGATAGCAATTAATTGAGTATCAACCTAAGAATTATTTTTATCAGTCATTTGTGCCCACAATTTAAAATCTGAAGTGTTAATAGACTTAAAACAAGCAAAAAGAAAAAAAACAAAAAACGAGTTCCTTATCTCTGACCACCTCCCATCCCCATCCTGGTCTCCTTCCACAGTGAGAACCTTTTCAATACTTTTAACTATTTTTATGGCAGACACCTCTATATTTCTAATATCTGTAATATTCTTGTTTCTTGAATCATCTGCTTTAAACAGAATGGTTCTGATTCCCAGCATCACCATTTACTAGCTCTGTGACCTTCACAAAATGACTTAACTTCTTTAGGCTTCAGTTTTCTTATCTATAAAACAAATAATATAACGTATCACATAAGGCTATTGTAAGAATTAAGTGATACAAAATCATGTGTGAGATATTTTGCTCAAAATTTTGTGATCACAGAGTAATACCTATTAGTGTTGTTACTGTACTGCATCCTCCTAAAATAGTTACAGAATACTAGTTTTTTTGTTAAATCACATTCAGTGTTTTCATAATGTCCTTTTTATATGTGAGTCCGCTCAATTAATGAGTCTCACTTTTTATCCTCATCAAAACAGTTTATGAAAGGCTGGCAAGCTAGCTGAAAATGCGGAACCAGTAGAATATCCTGGATAACTTTGAACTTGACAAATTCCAAGTCACTGGTCTTTCAGGACTGTGAGAAAGTATATTACAGAACTTTTACTGTAGTTTTAAAATTATTTTATTCAAATTTCTGAACATACCACTACCGGTTATTACCTCACATCTTTAATGCTCACCTTTTGCCTCTGTTTTTTATCATTTCCACAGCTAAGTATGTTTAAGATGCTACACATCAAACATTCCAGTTTTTCTTTATATGCAATATTTTCCAGAATTGACACCGCGGCTTTCTACAGTTTCCCAGTGATTAATTTAAAACCAAAGCTTCTATTTAGAGTTCATAATTCTAAGTGGTCTCTAAGTTTTGAGAATAATACAATTTGCATACTGTGGATACCTGAGATATGTCTAAAATTCTAAAGAACATTTATGTAGTAGTTTTTGTTCAGAAAACAAAACAAAACAGTTTGGTCAGTCACAATCTATTTCAACAAAGTGCTATAGTAAACTGGAGGAATTTTAAAGAAAGTCAGTTATAATTATCGAAGAATCGCACATTAATTTTAATGACTCAATCTTAGGATAAAATATTTTCATTCAGCAATTGATAAAAAATTATATATGACTAGAGACCCGGTGCACGAAATTCGTGCACTGGGGGGTGGGGTTCCCTCAGCCCATCCTGCCCCTCTCACAGTCCGGGAGCCCTCAGTGGATGTCCCACTGATGGTCATAGTCTGGCAGCAGAGGCTCGAAGCAGGCGTCCTGTGTGTGTGTGTGTGTGTGTGTGTGTGTGTGTGACCCCACTGGGGGTCTGCCCCCAGCCACATTGGAGGCTCAGAGCAGGCACTGTGTGTGTGTGTGTGTGTGTGTGTGTGTGTGTGTGTCTTTGTGTCTGCTGGAGGCCTGCCCCCAGCCACACCATGGAGGCTTGGAGCAGGAGCCCCTCTGTGTTGATCTCTCAGGCTCCTGGCCTCCACTGCATGTTGTACTCTCTCTTGAGCTATGGCCAGGATGCAGGAGCCCCTCTGTGTTGATCTCTCAGGCTCCTGGCCTCCACTGCATGTTGTACTCTCTCTTGAGCTATGGCCAGGATGGGGGTGCTGCTTGCAAGCCGGGCTTTCCTGCTCCCGGATCGCCATGGCGACCGGGGAGCAGGCCCAGCTTGGAGCTGCCTGCAGGCCGGGCTTTCCTGCTCCTGTATCAGGCCCAGTTTGGGCTGCCCGCAGGCCAGGCTTGCTTTCCTGCTCCCGGATCACCATGGCAACCGGGGAGCAGGCAAAGTTTGGGGCTGCCTGCAGGCTGGGCTTGCTTTCCTGCTCCCGGATCAGGTGCAGCTGGGGGCTGCCTATAGGCCGCACTTTTCTACTTACCTATAGCCAGATCACCACAGCGACCCAGGGCCCAGCAGCACTTTCCTGCTCTCCAATAGTCATAGGGTCCTGGCTGGGGGCGGGGCTTAGCAGTGCAGGGCTTAGGCGGCACGGGGGTCCCGGCTGGGGGCTCAGGTGGCACACGGGTCCCGGCTGGGGGCGGGGCTTATGCCCCGCTGCCCAGGGCTGCACATGGGGCCCGGATGGCAGCTCGCGCTGTCCCGCCCTGCCTGTAGTATAGGATAGAGGCCTGGTACACGGGTGGGGGCCGGCTGGTTTGCCCTGAAGGGTGTCCCGGATCAGGGTGGGGGTCCCGCTTGGGTGCCTGGCCAGCCTGGGTGAGGGGCTGATGGCTGTTTGCAGTTGGTCACACCCCCTTCAGGGTGGGGGTCCCCACTGGGGTGCCTGGCCAGTCTGGGTGAGGGCCTGAGAGCCGTTTTCAGGCTGGAGGGCAACTTAAGCTCCCAGCCTCTCCTTTTTTTCTTTTTTTTTTATTCTGGGATTTATTTACCTCCTATAGCTGTCACTGGAGCTGAGAGCCGGCTCCAGCTCTGAGGGCTGAAAGCAGGTTTCTAGGTTTGTTTGGCTTCTATAATTGAAACTCTGTTGCCATCACAGCAGCTCTAAGCTCTGAGGCCGAAGCTGGCTGAAAGCAGGTCTCTGGAGCTTGTTTAGCTTCTATAATTGCAACATAGTTGCTTAGAGTGCAGCTCAGAGGCTGGCAGCAGCAGGCGGGGAACATTGGCTTCCTCCGTCACTGGAGCAAGCAAGCCTCCTATTCGCTTCAGCTGCGTGGCTGCCGGCCGCCATCTTGGTTGGCAGTTAATTTGCATATTGCCCTGATTAGCCAATGGGAAGGGTGTCAGGGTTATGGTCAATTTGCATGTTTCTCTTTTATTAGATAGGATATATTAAAAAATTCTAAAATTCTTCCTCATTAAAGTTCTCTGAGGATAAGGAATATGTTTAATTTACCTCTATCACCATTGTGTAGGATGGTGCCAGACTACTACAGGTGTAGAGCTATCCAATACTTATTCACTGGATAAATAACTTCAGCATAACTTGGTCTCAGGTTGACAAATATTTGACAGTAAAACATCAAATACCATATTAACACAGCATTATTTCAGCATAAACAAAGCACACTAGTTGGTACATTACATTTTATGTTTTATTGATGGTGACATATAGTAAAAATCTAATATACATTTATCACCCATGGTCCCTTATAAATATTTAAAGTTCTTTTTCACAAGCACAATCCCATTGCAGTCATACTATAAGCTTTTTTGAAGACAATTAAAAAATACATTAAAGATATAATTCACGATGAGATATTGAGACGGATTTTAATATTCTCATTATAAATAAGTGTAGACCTTTACCAAGAGGTTGATATTCTGGGAATCCTTTCTGAGGATTTATTTTCATATAATTAATGGCCAGATTAGCATACATGAAGTCTTATATTCTTATAAACTTTATTCAGAGTCCATAAATGCAAGCAGATTATAAAGTATTCTTAGATGCACCAACATCTTTAAAAATATTAATGTATTCAGTTTGCCTTAAGATATATTCCTTGAATTGACAATTGTTGAGGTTTCCAAATACTATCTTTTCATGTCTTCACAGCTTGGATCTGATCTGATAACAAAAACAGAAAGACATTATCGGTCTCTATAGGACATAATCTATTTAACATAACCCAAGACAAATCTTTAACACAGTAGAAATCTATGTACATTGTTTTTTAAAAAGCACAAATCATACTATAGTTTTTATTTTCGTCACAGTTGTATATGCATAGAGCCAGTTAACTAGTTTTATATGATGTATAAAAATTAGCAGTCCCTTGCCTCATCTCCATCCCTTTCATAGGCAACTACTTCCAACTCCCTTTTAGGTCATTACCTCTTTCTCTCTAAATAATATTTGTATTACTTGTTGAAATACCAGTTTCTTCCATTTAATATGAGGCCTCAGTTTTTAAGTATCTCTATGCTGCTATCTGCAACCCACATAATACTTTCAATACTCCCATCCTCCTAACCAAGTAAATGTAGTCATCATCAATATAATGAGTCTGTAAGTGCTGATCACACCTGAGACAGGTAGCATACCTCGGTTACTTTTCCTGTCTTCAACTACATTTTGTTTTCCCTGGAGTTCATAATTGTTCCTTATCTCCAGCTCTGCCTCTCTGCTTTTTTATGTACCCAATACCACTTCAATCCCATTACTCTACAGTTTAAATCCTTATTATTATGAAGCACAGTACAGAGTCCATCCATTTCACTACAGCCTTCCCAAACTCTCTAATCTGGACCAGTTTCCTCTGCTTGCCCAGTTATTTTCACAAGAGATCTTTCACTATCACTCTAGGATCTCCACTCTCATCCAGGGGATTCCTCCCCCACACCCTCTTGTGCTTAATTTCCTCTTTCAGGACCCCTCTTTTTCCCTTGGTTTACTCCCTTGTTTTTGAGGAGTACTCCTCTCAGTGGCTACCTTAGTAAAAGGTACAGAAAGTAAATTCTTAAGACTTTGCATGGCTGAAGATGTTTTAATCCTACAGTCAGAATACATTGATACAGCCTGAGAACACAATCCCACTTTCTTCTTTGACTGTTCCAGGCACTGCCCAATCATATTACAGCTTCCAAGGGTTGCTACTGAAAAACTTTGATGCTATTCTGTATCCTTATCCTTTCAAGAAACCTCCTTTTCTTCTCATGAAGTTTGTAGACTCTCCCATTGTCTTCAGTGTTGACTGTTATTATGTGCCATGGTGTGAGGATGTTTTCATCCACTACATTGAGCTTTCATCAAAAGGACTTTTAACTAAAAACTCCTATTTAGTTGTTGAAAATACTGTTTGCTGATTTTTATCCCCTCTATTTTCTGTTCTCTTTTTCTGAAATCCTATTATTTGGATATTAAGCCTCCTAAACATGACCCCTTACTTTCCTATCTTTTCTTTCCAATTTTCTATTCTTTCTCTTTTTTGCTCACTTTCTGAGAGAGTGCCTCTATTTTATCTTCTTTTAATTGGGGTTTCAATTTCTACTACTCTATTATTTCCTAAAAACTCATTTTTAGGTTCTTTGTTCTTGATACGCTACAAGTTTTTTTTTTTGTTTTGTTTTGTTAATCCTCACCTGAGGATATTTTTTCCATTGATTTTTCAGAGAGTGGGAGGAACTTGGAGACACATCGATGTGAAAGAGACCCATCGATTGGTTGCCTTCCACATGCACCCCGACTGGGGCCTGGATTGAGCCTACAACCAAGGTACATGTCCTTGACTGGCATCGGACCCGCAGCCAGTCCACAGGCCAACGCTCTAACCACTGAGCAAAACCAGCTAATGCATACTCTACTAGGTTTTTGAAATGTTCCCCTAAATAAATTCTACTTCCTCTAACGTATTTTTCCTGTTTATGTCCCTTAATTCATAATGTTTTGGTCCTCAAATGCCTGGTGATCCTTTGCCATCCTCTCATACGTGTTAACGAACACTATAAAGCTGAACTGGAATTGTGATACGCATGTTAGACTTGTCAAATGTGGTCTTCATTCTAGAGTATCTAGCTAAGCCATTTCCTTGGGAATCTCTGATGTTAATAGCACTAGTTCTTTTCTCTTAGGCTGGCCTGATTCCTCAAAGATGACTTTGTATCTCCTGCCTACCACCAGTGTCTTCTGGGGGAAACAGAAGGTAGAAGAGGGTTATATATTTGGTATGAAAACTTTCAGTTACTCATTTTCAGTTCAGCACTAGCACACACAGTTGTGCTTGCTGTTCTAGAGTCCAGAGACACTCTGTTTGATGCTCTGCAGAGAATGAACCTTCAACCTTCTTTTGGGATAAGGATGTAAGACTGTGTGTTCTCTTTTCAGCCCTACCCCTCTAATTTCCAATTTCTACCAATATCGAGCCTTTGTGGGGATCTGCAATGTAAATTAGCCTCCCAGCTTTCCTCAGTGCTGGCTTAGAATTCAGCTTTCTCTGTTAAGAGAAAAGGTCTTTAAGTCTGTTATGTCATTCATTATTTATCAGATCGGATCAACATTCATCAGATATCCAGCTTCCAAAATCTGGGTGCAATTGTTTTCTGTTCTATTTTGGTTGCCATTTTTGTCATTCCCATTCCTTTTGTCCTTGTGGGTTAATGTCTTTAAACAAAAGTCCCTTAACTGTTAGTGACATTTGAGGAGGAGATGAAAGTTGTGTCACTGAAACACCATATGAGTAGTTTATGTGTTTTATTAAAACCTGAAAGCATAAACCTTTCCCATACAGATCTATACTAATAAAAGCCTAGGTGGCCCTCACACCCTCACGCCATCACAATATGGCCGCCCCCATATTGTCACAAGATGACCGCCCCCACGTCATCACAAGATGGCCGCTGCAAGATGGCCACCCTACATCATCACAAAATGGCTGCTGCCACATTGTCACAAGATGGCCGGCAGGGGAGGGCAGTTGGGGGCAATCGGGCTGGCAGGGGAGGGCAGTTGGGGGTGACTGGCCGGCAGGGGAGCAGTTAGGGGCAATCAGGCTGGCAGGCAGAAGCGGTTGGAGTCAATCAGGCAGGTGGGCAGGCCAGTGGTTAGGAGCCAGCAGTCCCAGATTGTGAGAGGGATCCCAGATTGAGAGGGTGCAGGCTGGGCTGAGGGACACCACCCTCCCCCCCCCCCAGTGCACGAATTTTGTGCACTGGGCCTCTAGTAAAGTAATAAAATGAGTAAGTTTCTTTAGTCACACGGGAGAATTTCTTTTTATAAATATCTCACTTCAAAGTTTCAGAGCTAGAAAACAACTTATATCTCTGCAATAGTTTCTATATATTCTCTGTTGGTTTTTAAAAATACTTCATAGTCTACTCAGGGATTCTTGTCTTTGGGCTGCAATACAGAGCAAATCATTGTGAATCCTTCCGAAAAAGAATAGAATCATGGCACAAAATGTTTCATTTAATATTCTATCTCCAAAATTTCAGCCTGTATGCATGCATATGAGCATATTCCATGGACACAGACAGTAGGGGGGTGAGGGTCTGTGCTTGGAGGCAGGAGCGGGCTGGGAGAGGTCAATGGGGGAAAAGAAGACATATGTAATATTTTCAACAATAAAGAATTAAAAACAAAACAAAACAACAACAAAATAAATAGAAAGTCAATTTTCAAAACAAAACAAAAAAAGAAAGAAAAAGGAAAGAAATTGGTCCAAGGGCCTTCTTGTTTATAATGCTAGGAAATTTTAGAATTTTGGAAGCAAAATGAAGAGATAAACTCAGAATATCTTTCACAGATAGATTTGCATAAAAACTTTTGGCTAATAAGTTAGTTAAAGGCACAGACAAATCTCTTGTATGCTGTTAGCTATTTTATAAAATAGGTTTTTGCCTTTTTTTGAATCCAGAGAGATAGGAGCATCAAATTGCAAACTATTTGCTATTACATAAGAAATATGAACAAAAGATCTATTCAAAACCAAACCAACATACTTTTTAATCTACGTACAAAGTTTCCTTCGTTATTAAATAGAGCATTTAGGTAAAAGGGTACATTTAACATTTACTGAGTGTTTTCTAATGGCAGTGATTTTAACACATACAGTGTTTCATTAAATCTGTACCACAATTTTTACATTTATTTTTTCAATTTTACAGATGAAGACAACTATCTTCAAAAGAGATGTTAGTTAATAATAAGTAGTGGAATGAATCTCTACACTCAAAAGCCCAACTGCTTTTTTTTTATTAAATATATTTTATTGATTTTTTACAGAGAGGAAGGGAGAGGGATAGAGAGCTAGAAACATCGATGAGAGAGAAACATCGATGAGAGAGAAACATCGATGAGAGAGAAACATCAATCAGCTGCCTCCTGCACACTCCCTACTGGGGATGTGCCCGCAACCGAGGTACATGCCCTTGGCCAGAATCGAACCTGGGACCTTTCAGTCCGCAGGCCGACGCTCTATCCACTGAGCCAAACCGGTCAGGGCCCAACTGCTTTTTAACTACTATTCCATGATGCCTACATAAAATTGGGACAACTAGCTAACCTTGCAGAAAACTGTTGTAACAGTTACATAAAAAATATATGGCAACACAAGGGCACAAAAGTATTTCAACAACATACTCTCCTTACAAAGACTTGGGAAGTAAGATGCAAAGATAACGAATCAGGAAAGTCAGACACAAAAATCAGGTGACAAGACCAGAGTTGGCAAGTGGCACAGTGATGTTGGATTGTTACTGACACCTAGTGGCCTCAGTTACAAAATAAAAAATAAAAATAAAAATAAAAATAAAGGGAAGAGAGAACTATGATAGAGTGGAGGGCTGTGATGTAAAATTCAGATGACTATATCAACCTATTTTTAGTGGTTACTGTGCTTTGAATTACTTTATGAACAATAGTTGAGTTTGATCCATGCTATATCTTCACTGTGAGCAATAATAAGCACTTGTAAATAAGAATCAAGGCTGAAAATATGCTTTTGGTGTCTTTTCTGGAATGTTCCTCTGCAACCTATGTTTATGTGGGAATCAGTTCCTTAACTTTTACTAATTCTTTACCACAATCCAAAAAACTAACTTGGTGTGTTCACAGAAAAATTCTAGTAGTTATTTTAGAATCACTAGAGGTTCTCAATTAAGTTTCACTTAATTATAAAATTATGACTAGAATGTTCTTTGCAGTTTATTTTTTAATGTTTTAACTTTCTTAGTTTATTTCTTTTTTATTGATTTTTTTTTTTTTTAGAGAGGAAGGGAAGGAGGAAAGGAGGGGGGAAAAAGAGAGAGAGAGAGAGAAGGAGGGAGGCGGGAGGGAGGGAGGGAGGGAGGGAGAGAGAGAGAGAGAGAGAGAGAGATCGATTGGTTACCTCCCACATGCATCCCAACATGGGATTGAACCCAAAACCTGGGTATGTGCCCTGACTGGGAATCAAACTGGCAACTTTTTGGTGTACAGGATGATGCTCCAACCAACTGAGCCACACTGGCCAGGGTGTTCTTTGCACTTTAATGGTAACTGTCATGATGGCTACAAATGAGAAAAACCGATAATAGTCTGTGCAGTTAATTAAAATACCATGTTTTACTAACACATGAAAAATATTTATCAGATGTACACTTAGTACTTTGAACCAAAGAAATATTATGTCATTGTATGGGTAAGCAGCTAAATATATCTTAATTTATTCCCTGATATAGTAAGCTTGTCCAGACATAAACTTAATATTTGGTTCAAAGATCCAACATGACATGCAGAAGAGGAAAAAGAATCACACATAACTGTAATCAAAATGTTAGTTTAGCCCTAGCCTGGTGGCTCAGTTGGTTGGAGCACTGTTCCATGCACCAAAAGGTTGCAGGTTCCATTCCTGGTCAAGGCACATACCTAGGTTGTGGGTTCAATCCCCAGCCGGGGTGTGTATGGGAGGCAACTAATCAATGTTTCTCTCTCACATCGATGTTTCTCTCTCTCTCTTTCCCTTCCTGTCTCTCTAAAACAATAAAAACATACCCTCAAGTGAGAATTTAAAAAAAGGTTAGTGTAGAAAGAGTTGATAGCCAAGACTAAAACCTGAATTTATAATATATTGTTGTTCACCCTTATTAAGAGCAGGGAGATGCCTAATAGGAATGACCCTTAGTTGTTCTGCTCATAAGCAAAAATTTCTTGGCCTGACTCTCAGTGTCCTGAAACCTAAAGAACTCGGTTCCATTCATTTTTACTGCTCTTTGTGGGCTACTGTGCTTCCAGCGATTCCTGTAATTAGTAGACAATGTAAACTTAGGAAAAATACTGTATCTTTTTATTTATTTTTTTATTGTTTAAAGTATTACATGTCTCTTTTTTCCCGGATTGAGCTTCCCTCCCCCCTGCCACTCTCATCCCCTGAGGCAAGCCCTCACCACCCCAGTGTCTGTGTCCATTGGTTATGCTAATATGCATGCATACAAGTCCTTTGGTTGATTTCTATCACCCCTCCCCTGCCTTAAAATAATATATCTTAATTTATTCCCGATATAGTAAGCTTGTACCAACATATGATAGCTATTTTTGATGAATAACAAATACAGCTGCTATATACAAATCAATAGAATACCAGTATTTACAATTCTCAATATGAGTGTTAAAAGTTGCGTAAATGTTATATATAAACTAGAGGCCCGGTGCACGAAATTTGTGCGGGGGAGGTCCCCCTCAGCCCTGCCTGTGCCCTCTCGAAGTCCAGGACCCCTCGCTCCTTACCGCCCTGCCCGCTCGCTGCTCCTTACCACTTGGCTCGCTGCTCCTTAGAGTTGCCGTGGAGGCAGGAGAGGCTCCCGCCACCACCACTGCGCTTTTCAGCCATGAGCCTGGCTTCTGTCTGAGTGGCATTCCCCCTGTGGGAGTGCACTTACCACCAGGGGGCAGCTCCTGCATCGAGCGTCTGCCCCCTGGTGGTCAGTGTGCATCATAGCGACCAGTCATTCAGCTGTCCAGTCGATTTGCATATTAGGGTTTTATTATATAGGATTAAGATATTTATGGAGTAGGGCATTCTTTAAATATATGCCATGCAGACTTATTTTAATTATTGACAGTAAGGCTAACATTTGTCCCAAACTTCAAATGTGCTTCCATTATCAGATCTCTTAGAAATTTATTGCTATAAATTAAAAATATTTCTACAGTTGTCACTATATTGACTGTAAAAAGCAAACACTTTAAATAAATCCTTTAGAAAAATGTAACAGAAGTAAATGGAGCAAGGTATTGGATACTTACTGTAGTGTATTTTCTGATAGCAGAAATAAATGGAAACAAGAGGAGAAAAAGGCAGTGATATAATAAAAATAAAATGTTATAAAAGGAAAGAAAAATGTCAATGGAAAGGAAATACAGGCTGAAGATGGACAGTATTTTGTGATGTACCTTGAAGCCAGTCTACACCTTCTTGCAATCCTTCTCCTTTTATGGCATCACTAGCACTGAAATAAAATCCACAAGAAACATATCTATTTCATTACATTGTAGAACTATAAAAATAAATAATTGCAATTTTTCCATGTGGCAAATCAATATATTCTAGTAACACATATCTGAGCAAAACTGGTTAAGCAATGAAACTGAATGTATATAAAAAAACAAAAGTCTGAGCATCTTGGAGCAAGAAAATTATCCATAACTTATATTGACATAATTTTTATGACATTTGGAAAAGTGTATCAATAAAAAGTTATTTTAGAAACAGTACTCAGACTGACATTACTTTGAGTAATTTTTCCAGTGATGGAAAAGTTTTATAGAGTCCCCCTTCTTATCTTGCCCAGCCCCAATGACTCAAGAGCAGTTATTTATTAGAAATGCTTGACTTAGGTTGTAATTTAGCCACAGGATGCAGTGACTTTTTTTGAAATGGAGTTTTATATCTATAGAGTATAAACCTGTAATTATAACTTTGGTAAACTGGTAGAAATAAAAAAAAAATCCCAGTAGATTTCAATAAGTTTTTTACTTATTGGTTTCAGGAACCTAAATAGGTTATTTAATTCTGCTGTCTTCAGTTTTAGCATCTGTAAAATGGGGAGATATTATAATTGACTTCATATGGTTATTAAGGAAATTAAATATTTGAGATATGTATATAAAACAGGGGTCTTTTCACGGTCTTAGAATGAACTTAAATCCTTATTGTGATATTTTATAAATAATTATAATTAAATTATAAACTAAGTTATAAAATACAAAGGATTTTTTGAGTATCAATTTTTTCCAAGACACAGACTGATAGTTTCTCATAACATTTTACTGATCTAGTAGTTATTTCCTTTCAAAATGTAATCATATAATAGCAATTAGTATATAAATTAGATTTTCTGAATTAGGGTTTCTTTTAGTGTGCTGAAGCATGATTTTAAAATGTACTAAATAACCTAAAGGAGTTAATTTGATTCTAATCAAATCAGAAATTTCTTCTAAGGAATTACTTATTAGATTAAGAATATGACATATTTTAAAGTAGGAAGACAGAAACAAACAGCATGATACAAAATTATTCAAAGCAAACTGTGGATTACCCATATCAACAGCAAAACATCAGTAACTAAAATATTTATATAAAAAAAGATCAATGTATTGATTTTATCACACATCTATAGTCCCAAGTAAGACTACAGTATCAAATAAGTAACAATGAGGAAATCCTTCCCTTTTGGTGGAGGAGTCACTACCTTACTAAAACCCTGCATTTTTTCCTACTAATTTCCAATGGTTTGAATTTTACTTTCTTTTCAAATAAATGATAAGACCTGTAACTAAATAAAAGCAAAGTCTTCACCACGCCCAGCAAGGCCCTAGATCTCTTGCTTCAGTCAGCTTGGACTTCTTGCTATTCCTGAAATACACCAGGTACATCCTCATCCAAGAGCCACTTGCTGGCTGTCCACCTGGAAAGCTATTCCTCCACACCTGTGTGAACTGCTCCCTGACTTCAATTAGATTCCAGAGAGGGAGTATCTCTTATCATTTTTATCTTATTGTCCTACTTTATTTTTCTCACCTTTCCCAGCTGACATTTTATACATTTATTTACCTCTTTTATTATCTGTCTCTCTTACAAGGTAGTAAATAAGCAAAACTATACACATATCACAGCAGGGACTGAGTCAAAGAATACACAGGAAGAACAATACTGCAATCAGATCCTGAAAATCAGAGTTGACTATACATCTCTATAAACTTTTATTGCCAGTAAATTTACTTGTACCGAAGGTGAGATGCAATATTTTATCTCTACATCACTGTACATTACCTTTATCTCTAAAATTGTAAAAGAAGGATAAATGTATTTTCAATTTTATACATCGTTTAAAGAATATTGCAAAAACATAAGAACACTTAAAACAAATGAAGCAGTAATTAAAACTTAGTGAAATGTCCAGTTTGAATTAAGAAGTCAAAATTATAGTTGGCATTCTCCTATAAATTATACAGAAAACACAGCAACTGGAAATATAATATTCCACATCTTTATAGCATCAGGATATTTGTATCTCACTGAAAAATATTTAGATGTCACAACTGAATAAATTTTTTAAATTTCAAGGACTAATTATTTTAAGTAGAGATTTTTCCACTTGCAAAATTAACTTCTACTTCAAAAATAAAAGGACTGCATCTTTTACTAATTACACCCATGTTTTTGAACGTTATGCTTTCTATCAAAGCACTCACAATACTTAATACAATGGAAAAATGAAAATTTATTCTACTTTAGATATTATCAATTTAGATATGATTTACCTAAATGATATAGAGAAAAGCAAAGGTTACCTCTTACGATATTTCTCTACCCCCAAATCCCTCCTCTCTTTATCAACAAAATACCACAGAACCTCAAATTCCAAGTGAAGAAGCATTTAGGACACACTAACTTTTCTTCTGATTCCGGAGTAAGGAGGGTTTAACTGAGATATGCAGTGTTTCACTCCTGGGTAGAGATCGTGAATACTGAGGAGTTTCAAGGGTTTTCTCAGCTCTCTTCTATACTATTACTCTTTCAGCACCAAGGTTAGCTCTTCACGTTCTTCTAGGAGCTCTATTAACTCTTCACTTCATATTCTGTTTCTTCTTCTAAAGGCAGTGGATTCCTCCGCCTCTGTGTGCAGCCTTTTCCATAGATACTATCTTATAAAAAGGGAGAAGGGAATCTTGCAGTGGTGGGGAGGTAGGTGGTGGATAGAGGGAGCTTAATGACAGATAGTAGCAGGCACTAAAAAAAAATACTATCTAACAAACAATGTAAAATAAGTTCAGATACTATTTATGATTTCAACCTTATTAGTATGTTCAAATAAAGTTAGTATTTCCATTTATATTTATTCATATAAACAATATTTATTGTGAACCTACTAAGTACCATGTACTATTATTACAGGGGTTGCAGAGTGAAAATAAAACCCCAGTCTCATGGTGCTAATGCACTAGTGTAAGAAGACAGACTATAAAACAAAAAACAAGAAAAAGAGGTCACGTGACAACAGAAAAAGCAAATCAATAAGGAAAAAGCGAGGCAGGGTAAGGCAGTGATATTTTAGACAATTATGAGGGGAGGTCCCTCTCCTGAAGGGACTGCAGCAGCCAGCCAATTACATTATTTTGTAGAATGATTTAGACAAAGGGAGTAACAAGTGGAAATGCCTTGAGATGGGATTGTAGCTGGCTAATTCAGTGTATAGAAGAAATCAGCATGGCTGAAGTTGGTGAGTGACTAGGCTGTTTATTCTTTTAAAGAGTTATTTATATTTTTCTATCCCCAAAAAGATTTGAAAGGTTTTAATAGTAATAGGTTCATAAATACCTGCAACGCCACATTCTATAAAACAAAATCCTTAGCTTACATCCTACCAAGTTAGATCACTTATAAAATGAGTTTGGAAAAGAAACACTGAAGGTTGGAGATTTTTTCAAAATGATAAAATGAAAAATAAATCTACAACTTTACCAAATGTGCCATGGCTTATCTTTGATGTTCTCTAAACACAGCAACTGAGACACTTTTACAGATGTCACTGCATCTCTAAGGTCCATTTTGTTTGCAAAGAATAAGATTGGTATTCGGCGGTGCTTAATATCTGAAATAGAAAATAAGACTTTCATCAGACTTCCAGCCTTATGATCATTTCCCCCTAATTCATTAAAATTGAAAGTCACTAAAATTGTTTTCCAATCACTTCTTTCTATACCACACATACATAAACTTTTAAAGACATAAACTGTCAGGCATATTTGAGTGATATGAGAATTTAAAAAATACTTCTTCCAAGCCTTCTGGTTGGAGTTTTAAAACAAAGACAAGAGAAGTGGATCTGGGGGCTCATTAAGCAGTTACTGAGCTGCACCTACAAAACGGTCAACTAGTTTATTTTGTTTTTCGGTCAACACAAAGAAGGAAAACTGGAAGTAGGAGGAAGATGAACTGCATCCAAATTTTAGTTTTTAGTCACAGTATTATAAGTAATAAGCTAAATATTTTAAGAAGATATTTTTACTTGTTACAGTGTATGAAACATTTCTCCCTGTTTTGAATAGATAATTCATTTAAGTAGTTCAAAACTCAGAAGACACAAAATGCTGTGCAGTAAAAGGATCTCCCTCTCACCTTTGTCCCAGGCCATTCACTTGTCCTCCCTAGAAGAGGCAACCCATAGCATCCATTATATGGAGTCTTTTTAGAAATATTTTATATGTTTGTAAATAGTTATTATATATGACTAGAGGCCCGGTGCATGAAATTTGTGCATGGGTAGGGTCCCTAGGCCTGGCTGGTGATCAGGGCCGATCTGTGGGGTGACCAGTGGGGCAATTGGGGGGCCCCTGCTGGCACCCGCCCTGGCTGGCCTAGGGCCTGCAGGCAGCTCCTGCATTGAGTGTCTGCCCCCTGGTGGTCAGTGCATGTCATAGCGACCAGTTGTTCCACCATTCAGTCGATTTGCTTATTAGGCTTTTATTATATAGAACTAGAGGCCTGGTGCACAAATTCGTGCACGGGTGGGGCCCGGCCAGCCCACCCTGATGGGGGCCCATAGGACCGGGCCGGTGTGGGGGAGGGGCCGCAGGTGGTTGGCTGGCTAACCCCGCCCCTGATCGGGGTGTTGGGGACCTATTGGGGGCCAGGTTGGTGGGGATGGGGGGCATTGGGGCCCAGATCAGGCTGGTTGGCTGCCACAGTGCACATCATAGCCACCAGTTGTTCTGGTCACTCTGGTCATTCCGCCGTTCCAGTTGCTGGGCTTTTATATATATAGATTATTTATACAAATAGTAGCAGACTATTCTCACTTTTTATACGTTTTGCTTTTCACTTCATTTCGTATCTTGGAGACTATTCATTATCAGTACATATAGAGCAGTTTCTTCATTATTTTAACTATTGTGGAATATTCTCTTTTAGTGCTATATATCATAATTTATCTAACTGGATTCAACTGACATATATTTATGTTGTTGCCAATTTTACAACTATAAACAATGCTGTGATGAAAAAACTGCAGAACATTTTGTAAATGGGCCAGTATGTCTACTAGATAAATTTGAGAAATGGAATTACTGGGTCAAAGGATATATAAATTGCTATTCTGACAGATAGCTATTATCTACAGAACTGCCTTCCCTTAAAAATGGTATCAATTCACACTTAAACAACATTGTATACGAGTGTTTTCAGTGATAGGTAAAAAGTACTATGAGAATGTGTTTACTTACATTGTTCTGAGAAAAGTCAAGAATCTATATATTCAAAATGTTTATAATTCCTTTTTTATGAACAAGTTTGGCATATCATGTCCCCATTTTTCTATTGTCTTTATTTTCTTATTGATTTGTAGAAAAGGTTTAAGTAGTAAGGAAGTAAGTCTTGTAGCTATGACATGAAATACAAATAGTTTTTCTTGTCTGTCATTTGCCTTTGACTGCTTATGGCCCATTTTGCAATTCAAAACTTTTTATGGAGTCATAGTCATTCATATTCATATCCCCCCTCTCTCTCTCTCTCTCTCTCTCTCTCTCCTTCCTCCCTTCTTTCCTTTTGTGTGTGTGTAGGATTCTGGATTTTGTGTTATAGTTAGAAAGACCCTCTGTTGCCCCAAAATTATTTTTAAAAATCTCCCATAGTTTCTTCTGCTGCTGTAATAGTGTAATTTTTACATTTCTATTAGTCCAGCTGGAACGTATTTTGGAACAGAGAATGTCAGAATAGATAAAAAGAAAAAGAAAGATAGCTACATGATGTTTATAAGAAACACAATTTGAACACATTACCTGAAAGTGAAAGGATGGAAGGAAACATGCTTACGTGTAAGTGAAAGAAAGCTGGCATGGCTATACTACTATCAGACAAAGTAGCTTTAAAAGATGAAGGGTATCATCAAAGAAAAAGAAAGGCAGTAAAATTATAAAATGGTCAATTAATCAAGAAGACAAAAAATTTTAAGTGTGTTTGTATCTAATAAACAAGCTTCTAAACCAGTGATGGCGAACCTTTTGAGCTCGGCGTGTCAGCATTTTGAAAAACCCTAACTTAACTCTGGTGCCGTGTCACATATAGAAATTTTTTGATATTTGCAACCATAGTAAAACAAAGATTTATATTTTTGATATTTATTTTATATATTTAAATGCCATTTAACAAAGAAAAATCAACCAAAAAAATGAGTTCGCGTGTCACCTCTGGCACGCGTGTCATAGGTTCGCCATCACTGTTCTAAACACATAAAGCAAAATATGACAGTATTAAAGGGAAATACAAAGAAATCCACAATCATAGATGAAACACAAACCAAGTTAGACCATATACACTGGGCCACGTATTTTGAAGGGTGAAATCATATAGAACGTTGTTTGATCAAGTGGAATTAAATTAAAAATCTGTAACAAAAGATACATACAAATTTCCCAATTATTTGGGAAATTAAATAATATACTACTAAAGATTCCAAGGGTCAAAGAAGAATTCACAAGGTAAGTTAGAAAATACTTTGACCTAGATAATAAAAAAAAGTTATTGAAATTTGTGACATGTAGCTAAATCCTCAGAGAATATGTATTGCTTCAAATGCTTATATTAGAAAAGGGATAAAATCGATGTTTTCCACTTCCATCTGAAAAAGAGACAATGAAATACAAGGGAGTAGACACAGTTCATAATAAATCAAGAGGAGAGAATAATGACAAAAAAGGAAATTTAAAATGCCAGAAGTTCTTAGAAAATTAATAAAACCAATAAACTTTTAAAAAGATTGAGCAAGAAGAGAGGGAGGAAACATAAATTACTAATACCAGGAATGAAAGAAGATATATCAAATGGATCTTGTAGACATTAAAAGGATAAGGAGAGGATGTTATAAACAATGTTATGCCAATAAATCTGACAACTTAGATAGTACATTAATAAATTTGGTCACAAATTACCAAAAGTGACCGGAGAATAAATATAACTTTAATGGTCTTATATCATTCAAGCACTTGAATTCATAATTCACGCCCCTCACTCCTTCAACACACACACCAAATACTGATGTTGGTATATCATTGCTATATTCTATCTGGCATTTAAGGAAGAAATAAGAGCAATTCTACACAAATCCAAAAATAAAAAATAAAGAGAAAAAGAAGTATATACTCTTCAACTCATTTTATGAAGCCTCTATATCTCTGATACAAAATCAGGTGAGGACATAAAAAAAATAAAAAACCAAAACTGGTAAAGTCAGCATCATGTTGGCATGAGAGGATCTCCAGTTCTTTCCCACTGAAGTGGGACAGCTATAATTCAACCAAGGATTCTCTGTTTAAAACACAAACATGTCTGAGAATTGTGCACTGAGACAGCTGAAGGTGGACTTAATTTAGCAAACAGTGGAGACAGAATGGTAGGGAGAAGGACAGAGACAGAAGTAATGGGACCCCAGCGGGCATGATAGCAGTGAAGGGCTGGGGTGCAGCCCCCAGTGGGCAGACCGGACTCGAGGGCAGAGACAGCAATCAGACCTGGGTGGCTGGCACACACCGAGGCTGAGCCCAGGGTCAGAGAAACAGTACAAAAAAAATCACTGTGCTTGAAGCCAGCTGGCACTGAACAAAGGATTCTGCATGCGCAGGAATTGGCCCACCCTAAACCCGTGTCCCACCTGGCACTTTAATCCTCAACTAGGGAAATGTCGAAAGAGCTGGGTAAAAAAAAACCATTCCAGCCTAAGTAGTCTGTAGACATGGGTCTAAACTCGGGAGGAAGAGCAGAAGCACAGGCAAGAACCGCTTCATCCCGCCCACCCATCCCTCACCCATTGCAGAATAGCCTGACAGAGGCAGCTGGGGGCTTCTGGCTACAGGAAGGCAGTGCCAGGAATACAAAGAAGGTTCAAACCCCGCCACTTGCTATACACAGGAGTGCAGCCTCGAGACTGAGTTGACCAGGTGGTAAAGGGAATATGCAGCCTTTCCACCAGTGGAGGTGACACCCACAGAGATCCCAGGAGCCCCAGCAGTGCAGGTAAGAGAAAACTTGCGCTTCAGTACCACATTCTGGAAAACAAAGGAAATACCTCTACTTATCAACCTGCTTAACATCTATATAAAAAAAGCCTAAGCAACCATTATGGTGGAACGACTAGAACGACCGGTTGCTAAGATGTGCGCTGACTACCAGGGGGCAGGCTTAAGGCAGGAGCTTCCCCCTGGTGGTCAGTGCACTCCACAGCGGGAGTGCAGCTCAGCCAGAAGCTGGGCTCATGGCTGGTAAGCACAGCGGTGGTGGCAGGAGCCCCTCCCAGTTCCGCAGCAGTGCTAAGGAGCAGCGAGCTGAGTGGTAAGGAGCAGCAAGCAGGCGAGTAGTAAGGAGTGAGGGGTCCCGGACTGCGAGAAGGCGCAGGCTGGGCTGAGGGACCCCACCCCCCAGTGCACGAATTTCATGCACTGGGCTTCTAAGTTGAAGTCTAAAGTTTTTCTTTTTTTTTTTTCTGTTCATCAGATTATTTATTCACTTGATTTTTAGATTCACTTGTTGATAGACGTGTATTTGTTGTTCATAATTTGTATCTTTCCCTTTTTCTTCTTCTTCCTCTTCTTAAAGGATACT